AAAACTCTCCCAGGGGAAGTCAATGAGAGCTGTCAACATCTATGGGAGTGAAGGCGGTAAGACACCGAAGGGCCCTGGAGAAAAGGACCTTTCTGTATGTGCAACTGCCTATCCTGTACTGGCACATCAGGGAAAAGCTTTCTCCCCACCGTGCTAGTTTTCACACTCTAAAGTCATGTGAAACCCGCACTTGCCATTTGAAGTGGTACACGTCAGGAACAGGTTTACCATCTCAACTGTCATTTATGACAACTAGGCCCAAGAGATACACTGGAGCGCCATTTATATATGCAGTACTATCGACTTCATAGGGCTGCTGTGAGAAGAGAAAATCTGCAAAGCCCTTCAAACAATGCCATATGCTAATTTTGTGTTTTGCATATTGAAAATTAATGCTAAATTGTGGTAGTGAGTTGCCCAAGGCCACACAGTGAATCACTTGTTCAGCAGAGATTAGAATTGACACTTCTCAGTTTTTTAATTATGTCATATTTCTGTATTCCACCTTTCCATCAAAAACAATCACATGTCTAAGGCCAGCACTGAATCCACTATAAACATTGGTTATTCCACCAATTATGCCTACCCTGAATTCACTCAGCGTAAAAACCTTGTGGAAGAACCTGCAAAGGTAACACAATTTTGATACTTTCCAGTTTCCCTCAATGTACCTTCGGTGGAATTTAATGAAATACCTTGCATTTTCCAGATGTTAATTACCCCCGCGCCCCCCTTAAGTACCAGTATTTTTCAAGCCCTTATACTCTTCCTTTAACATAGCATTTTTCATCAATTTGATCTTAATGTGAACTGAATTGGTATGACAGCAACCTATTAAAAAAGAACATCTAACTATGCTCTCTTCCTTTTAGGTTTTAATCAGGGCATAACACAAAAGGAACACTGTTTTAGCCACTGGGGGTCCTGCTCAAAAGGGTGATATTTTACAAAATAGTCTCGGTCTACCTTATCAGACTTCTACCAGATATGGAGTCTACAAATGTTATTTGATTCTTTGCCATATCATTTTCTATGCCTTTTGCTGAATGGCTGATTAAATCTACTCCAAGTCCAACACATGAAGGATATTAGATTATTAAAAGTACACTTTCCATCATTTGTAAAGGTTAGACCCAAATTGATTCTAAAGTGACAATGAATAAAGATGACATAGTATTAAATATGCCAATGAAAAGCAGATTCCAGCAGGAGCTCTGTAATTCTATGAATCTAATTTACCACATATTGCCAGTCTAGCACTTAAAAAAAAATATCAAAGAGACAAATGAGAATTTTTATGGATTCCGCCTACAAGGCAGGAGGAAGTCCTTTCAAGCCAGTCAGCTAAACCATAGTTCAGGATGCTGGGTGTGAAGAGTGCTTTCCTTGTATGAGAAACAAAGTTCAGTTTTGAATCTCTGTAGTGCCAACATGTGTGGCATTTTACAGAACAACATGAACAAAAAACACAGGTCTGTACCAAGAAGTTCATGATCAGGGCTGTTACACATGCTACAATTCTGCAGGAGGAAAAATATGCAACGTCTTCGTAACTCAGCTCCTTGAAAACGTCACCTTTCATACACGCAAGACACTTCCTAACCCTTACAGTTGCAACAAATATGCTTGAACATATATGGGTGGGCATTGCCAGCTGAAATCTCAGGGGGGCAGCCAAACAATCAGGGGAGAGGCTAAAGTAGCCTTCAGTGCTCCATGTGAAGGAATGGGTTTCTGTGTAGCAAGTTTAAAACTGACTCAACCCCCTCCTTTTGTTCTTTCAAAAGAGAGCATTTTAAAATGCGTAAAACTTGAGCTGTTGAGCAAAAACACAATAAGGACACAACTGCATAAACAAGCTCTCTCCCTTATCAGTCATGGCAAGGGATGACCCTGACTCTTTAGGGGATCAAAGAAAACACGTCAATACTTTGTCTTATGTGCTCACCACAAAATACGTGGGGACCGATGTCCGGGGGGAAAGCCAAAAGCGTGTTCCCGGAGATCATGACCTCTTCCCAGATAAGAGTAGGAAGAGGAAGGTCCTTTTATGGTCAGAAGTACAGGAAGGACGATCCTTTTATGGTTGAGAGTACCAGAGCAGGAGGTTACACATGTTCTTCTCTACTATGAAATTGTACATGTTCATGCAAATAATAATAATATCAAATAAATTGCGCGAAGTCAGAAATTAAGAAAATATACTTGATTTTCATGATTTATACTGACTGTGCTATTCTGCCTTTCTTGGTACAGTATTTGGATTACCTGGGTGCCTCTCCCTGTGCACAACCCACATCACCCCCAAATCTGCGTCAGTGGGTTGGAAGAACCCCCAGAACGAATTAAGAGAGCACGCAGGAGGGGAATAGCGTTCTTTTGTGCAAGGGGAAATCTCCGTGCTAACAGGACGTTCCCCTTAGCATGCAGTGATTACACTTTAATCCAATTATGATAAATCTAATAGGCTGGAAATCAGATTATATTGCCACAGTGGTTTCCACTGGCCTTAAACATGGCAGGATTCAGAACTATTTGTCATTCCCTGTCCCCTCTAATTTCAGTATAATGCACTTTGGGGAAGTGCTCAAAAATATGCTCGAGACCAAGAAGCTGCTTATGGATTTCCAAAAGGCCCTTATGCGGAGATCCACAAAAGAATATTCATTCTTAGTAATAATGTACTCTGCAGGACAGCTAATGCTCTGTAAAAGTCACTCCATTTGAGCTGGCTTGTCCACAATTGTCCACTGAAAAATACATTTACGTACCAAATCATGTATAGCAATTCTAGCCAATTCTATTGAGTCAAGGGGGCAAGAGAATATTAAATTTGTGAAATTGCCTACATTCTACTTAACATTCAAAATATATAAATGCATTTTGCAAAGTCTATTGTTTGCTGCAATTATCCTAGATCTTGAAAAGAATGCATTAGCTTCATGATAAGCTTTGTGGTAATAATGACTGATAATGTAGAAGCTGCAAATGTGTTTAAGAGCACTCATTTGCTTTCTGTAGCAGACTACAATTAACAAGCTGGAGCAATCTGCTTTAAATCTAAAATAAGAAGATAAAAACTTGACTGATCCATGTTTCGGCAGTTCTTAACTGGGATGTGCTGGCCTCCTCGTATTTTTGTATTAACAACCTTGTGCTGTGTCCAACATATAAAAAGGTATATACAGTATATGGTATGGCTAACAAAAATAATTACTCAAGAAGAATGAAGAATCTCAACAGGAGTTTTAAATATATTTTTTTCAAACTTTACTTCTGCATAGTCTCTCCCTGCAACACAAATATGAAGATGCAACTGCCTAATTAAGCATTTTAAATGCTGAACTGTGAGGTACTCTATTGTTCTAAAATTGTCTTGATGGATTCTGCTTTAGTTGTGTTGTTGCATTTTATTTTGAACGCCGCCTTGGGATCTAAAAAGATGGCCAGTTTGAAAATAATTTAAATGAATAATAATTCTACAGTATCCTGTGCACTGAGCAGCATCCTGTACAAGGTGACAGGGCCCGGGGCTCTTGCACTGATGTACCACAAGCAGCACAGATGTTTCACACATGCAAATGCAGAGGCTAGTGCAGCTGTGCTCTGTAAGGCCTTACTCAATAGAGAAGTAGCGGATGAGGGCAACACACTGTAGGATCAAGTATAGGGAGAGAGAGGCAAGGCTATCAACAGAACAAACTACTGGGTGATGCAACTGACTCCAACATCACAAGTACTGAGCTTTGAAGGCCCATACCCTTAGCAAGCTACAGGACCCAGACTATGAAAGGGTGACAGTATTGCTTACCCCTTTGCAGTCACTCACAAGACTGAGCTGTAAGTCTGCATGCCAAGAAGGGGGCTGAAGTTATTTTAAACATCTATTCAAAACTCAGTTTCAGCTGCCAACACTGAAATATGTAAGTTCTGTATCCTCTTCATCAGACGCCATTGAGCAATTGAAACTATTCACTAATACATATGGCTAAGAAGGGCCAATGTTTCATCTAGCCAGCACAGGGATTGCATAGTTCCTCTGCCAAGAGTTTAAACTCTGTACAAACCATAACATTATGAATCCAGGGAGATTTTTTTATACAAATAAATAAGCACTGGGGAGATGAAGAAGGTGCAGATTAAATGCAGGTATGTACTGCACAACTGGCCAATTTGTATAACCATGTGCTGTTCAGTTTGCGATCTTCCTTTCCAACTGTTTTGTACTAATGAAGGCAGCTACTTTGCTTAATTATTACAAAACAATTTACTGTGAAATGGGCATTAGCTAAATTAAACATGTGGCAGGTAGCAAAGGAAATTAAGTTACATGAAGATGGCCTTTTCGAAGTGTCTGCATTCCTTCTTACATCTTCTCATTTGACCTGTGTTTACTGCAACTATACATGATGGTTTGGGACAAGGCCGGGGGGGGCACCTCCAGAAGTTGTTGGACTCCAGCTCTCCCTCAGCCCCAGCCAGTAGAATCAGTGTTCAGATGGTACAGAAACTGTAGTCCTGCAACATCTGGATGGCACCACCTTAGCCACCGCTGGATTAGAAGATGTATGGTTCTGCATACCATTACAGATCTTATTTCCTTCCAAAATTTTATAATCCATTTATCAATATAAAGACACTAATTAAAGTCATTTCCTTAGCACTGTTTGGTATACATACCACTTGATAGTTCTTTTGCTCCCTTGCTTCAATATTTATTAAGTGCCTTGATTGGGGTTTCATAATGAATACATGGTTCTTGCCCAGAGGGATTAAATCTTAGCACAGACACATTTCCTAATCCAAACCTCTTAAATGTGTCCCTCTCTTCTTCCCCAAGGTGCTGAGCCTGGCATTTTTCTCCAGCGGTGAAGAGGGAATACACGCTTCGCTTTTTAGGCTGCATATATGCGCTGGTCTCTCAGCAAACATTAAACCCAAATAGCTTGAATGAAGCTGAAAATAGATTCAGGGATTTTCTTTGAAAATAAGACACTCACCCTGGCATGACAGTGGGAGGGATAACAAGCATCAGCTTCAGCCGCACCTGATGCAAAGCTTCCGAGAGGTGAGTGAGCAAGTGAATCAAACCCCTGAAACAAAAACATGGTGTTAGGTCTAGAAGTAAGGAAACTAAATCGTGGAACAACATAATTTTCTTTTTTAAAAAAGTTAGCAAATACTCTTCCTTCATTAAACGCTGAAGATACACTCTAACAGGACTTGGCCCTGCACAATCCATTCTCCCTTTAAATAGGATGTAACAGGAGATGACAAAAGAGATGCTTTTATTCAGTCTTCATTTTAGGACAGGGATGGGGAAGTTGGTTCCCTCTAGATGTTGAGTTTGGAGTACAGCAACATCTAAAAGGACCAGGTTTCCCCATCCTGGTTTATGTGATCAAGGAATGATATGCTGTATTTTATTGATTGTATCTAAATTCTCCCCTGGGAACATTTGGGTTGAAGGAAGATCTTTGTAATGGTAATGGTAACAGCAGCAGCAGCAACAGCAGCAGCAAGTGACCACTTTTGTACTCTCTCTTCTTCAGGCAGGCCAACTCAGCATGTGGTCACAATGGCCACTTTGCAGGTCAGCATCTTCATCATGAGGTCACAATGGTCAGCCTGCCTTCAGCAGGCATAAAGACACACTGATCAGTCAGTGTCTCTTCCTGGAGAAAGCAGCAGCAGCAATTTGTGGGCACTGTATGTTGGAGGGGGATTTCCAGCCGGTGGCAGAGGACAGAGTGACTCCAGGAGACATAGGTGTAAAAACCCAAACTAAAACGAAGACTTTATTACTAAGCAAATAAACACAAACTCTGGTGGATGTTATTCCTGCAGGCAAGCAACAAAACTCAGCCTTTTTCCTTTATAGCAACGGTCACCTGCAGCCAATTAATCCCAGAAACTTCTTAAAGGTATACACACATGTTTCTGTGCCGAATGTCCTCTAACACCCCCTCTCATTCAAACAGAAACAATAGTATTTTAAACAGAACAGAACATATTTACATATCACACACAGCAACTCCCAACTTTGCTACCAGTCGTGCATGTTTTTTGAATTTCTAAACCGAGATAATTTTTTACTGGACCCAAATCTCTTACTTTAAATTCCTTTCTTAGTTGTTCTGCAAATTTTTCCACTTGCTTGTCACTTTTTGTAGAGTAAAGCAAATCATCAACATAACACAAACACAATTCTTGTTTATCACCCTTTCCTTTAGTGTACAAGCAGTTATCAGCTAAGCTTCTTTTAAAACCAAGATTTTTTAAAGCATTATCAAGACATTCGTTCCAATTTCTAGCTGACTGTTTGAGCCCATAAATTGCTTTGTTCAGCCTATATACAGAATTCTGTTCTCCTGCCTCAAAACCTGGCGCTTGATTCATAAAAATTTCTTCTTGCAGATTTGCGTTAAGATAAGCTGTTTCAATATCAAAATGGTTTACCTTAAACCCACGTTGTGCTGCAAGAGCTAGCAATAAGCGTACACTTTCACTCCTTGCAGTAGGAGAAAAGGTTTCATCAAAGCTTTCACCTTTTCTTTGAGTAAAGCCTTGTGCTACCAGTCTGGCTTTGTACTTAACATCACCATCTGCCAAGTGTTTTATTTTATACACCCATCTACAGCCCACTGCCTTTTTTCCTTCTGGCAATGGCTCAATGGTAAAGACATTGTGTTCTGCTAAAGATTTCATTTCTGCTTTCATTGCATTTTTCCACCTTACTATTTCCTGGTGTGGTAACTTTAAAACTTCCTCATAATCACGAGGTTCCTTTTTCACATCACCAGTTTTAACTTCTTGTATAGTAAACCTTTCTGGAGGTACCCCCTTATTGCTTCTTTGTGACCTTCTAACTTGAACACTCTCCCCCTCTGAACTATCTTCCCCTTCTGATTTACCCTGCTCAGGAGAAATTGGTTCAGCTTTAGGAGATTGTGTACTGGGATCCTCATCCCCTGAATCCTCATCACTGTCACTTTCAGAACTTTCTTTAATTTGTGGCTTTTCTTCCTCAGATTTCACAAATTTATCTGTATCATCAGAAGATAACATAACTTCTGAATTTCCATGTAAACGAACCCAACCATCTTGCTCACAAAACTCTGCATGTCTTGATATTACAACTCTGCCACGCCCTAGTGCAAAACGATACCCCTTTGACCAAGTTTGATAGCCAACAAACCTAAGTTTCTTTGCCTTGGGCTCTCCTTTCCTTCTCTGTCCTTTTGGGATGTGAACCCAAGCCCAGCAACCAAAAGTTTTAACATGGTCCAAAAAGGGTTTTTTTCCATAAAGCAAAAAATGAGGGGTGTTGTTTATGGTAGAATGAAACAATCTGTTCTGTATGTAGTTAGCACACAGAATTCCTTCCCCCCAATACTTCCTGGATAGGCCAGAATCACATAGCATTGAATCTAGCATTGTTTGTAAAGATCTTATCTTGCGTTCTGCAACTGAATTTTCTTCAGGCGAAAAAGGACACGATTTACGGTGACTAATACCACGCTTTTTCAACCAAACTTGGAGGGCTTCAGACATGAACTCGCCTCCACGGTCACTTTGCAACTGGGTAACTTTGTAGGGAAACTGCCTTTCTATATAGTTGATCCAATTCTTAATCAGTTGACCAGTTTCACTTTTGTGTTTTAACAAATATACCCAAGTATACCGGCTATAATCATCCACAAGAACCAAAAAAAACTTTGCTCCTCCTTCAGACTCTGCAAATGGCCCACAAAGGTCTGAATGTACTAAAGCAAATGGCCTCTTGCTAATTCTAGTACTTTCAGGATAAGACCCTCGCTTACTTTTAGACTCCTTGCAGGTATTGCAGTCTAGAAAAACTGAACATTTTTTCATTTTAATTCCCTTGCTTAATTCTGGCATTTTTGCAATACTGCGGAAATTGGCATGCCCCAAACGACGATGCCACAGATGCTGGCACTCATCATGCAAGGCTCTATTACAGGCTTTAACACATGCCCCAGACTCACTTACTAGCTGGTCTTTCAAAACAAACAAACCATTTTGTAGCGACGCTGTAACCACTTTTCCAGCTTTCTCTATTCTACAGCCTGAACCAGAAAAGGTTACTTTAAATCCCTGCTTAACAAGACTTGTAACTGAAAGCAAATTATTTTCTAAACTTGGTACACATAAAACATTGGTAAACTTGGTACTTAAACAGTTGATATTCACACTACCCTTTCCAGCTGACTCATGCACTGTTCCATCAGCTAGTACTACATTTACAGATTTACAAGGCTGCTTTTCTACAAGGGTTTGTGCAGACTTAACAAAAATGTTTGTCGCTGCTGAGTCTAAAATCCAGTCTTGTCCAACGTCGTGACTGGTGCCTCGAACTGCTGCAGAAACATACTGGACTCGACTCTTCCTGTCTCCTCGCTTCCCAGCAAACGCAGGCCGCCCTTGTCTTGTATTTTCTCCCACAGACACAGTGCACTGTCGTACTAAATGCTTGGTTGACCCACAACGATAGCATCTTCTAACTGTGAACGCTGCTTCCTCTCTGTGGTCTACAACCTCTTTAGGATGCCGCTCCTCATCAGTTGCATATCTTTTACTGGACTGCCTCCCATTTCTGGAGTTACGGTGAGGGGTTGTGGCCTTCCTCTCATGGCGTCTTTCCTCCTCATCAAGCAAACGCCCAGTTAAGAAATGCATTGTTAATTGGCTTTCTGGGATTGCTTCCAGAGTCATCACTAAATTGTCCCATGACTCAGGAAGTGAAGACAGCACAATATAAACCTTTTCTCTGTTCAGAAAAATGTTCCCCAAGTTCATTTAACTGTGAAAATAAATCACGCATTCTTTGAAGGTGTGTTGAAACACATTCACCCTCACTTAGTCTGGCTCGGTACAGAGCTCTCATTAGAGTAATTTTGCTGCCAGCAGTGTCTCTAATATGTATTGCTCTCAGTGCTTGCCAAATCTCACTTGCTGTTTCAAGGTCTCGCACATGAGATAACTGAGACTTCTCTAAACTCAAAATTAAATTGGCATAGGCTTTGTCCTCCAGCCTTTGGTCTGCTTCATCTACTTCTTCATCCTCCTCTTTTACAGGAGGGTTAACAATAACAGTCCAACATTGTTCTTTCTTTAAAAACGCCTGCATCTGTAAACTCCATGACATATAATTGGACTCTCCCAGTTTCTCTACTGGAAAATAGGAAGCTCCCCCTTGAGCTCCAGCTCCAAGTCCAGCCATGGCGCCACCCAGCTTTCAGCTTTCCACTCAGTCCTTACTCACACGTGGCTTGAAGAAAAGTTCGGCTCCTGGTCCCAAACAGACACTCCCTGCCGATGCCTTCACACAGCCAGCTGCTTGAGAAACGCTGAGTTGCTTCCAGTCTCTGGGTTCTTTTCACGCTCTGTCTCTGCCCACTCAGGACTGGGGACTGGGCCCATAACCTGTTGGAGGGGGATTTCCAGCCGGTGGCAGAGGACAGAGTGACTCCAGGAGACATAGGTGTAAAAACCCAAACTAAAATGAAGACTTTATTACTAAGCAAATAAACACAAACTCTGGTGGATGTTATTCCTGCAGGCAAGCAACAAAACTCAGCCTTTTTCCTTTATAGCAACGGTCACCTGCAGCCAATTAATCCCAGAAACTTCTTAAAGGTATACACACATGTTTCTGTGCCGAATGTCCTCTAACACTGTAATCTGTTGCTCTCTCTCATTCCCATACAGAGGCTGGCAGAAGCAGGACCATACAGGCACAGTTTGTCACCAAGGTCAGTATATGCATGAGCCTGTGGGCAGAGACTCTTCCTCTTACTAAGGTGAGCAGAAGCAGTATGTGGGCACAATGGCCACCTGGTTCTTATTTAAATGGGAATGGAAGAGGAGTGAGGAACCTGTGGCCCTCCGGATGTTGTTGGACTGCAGCACCTGTCATCATCCCTGACCATTGGCCATGTTGCCTGGAGGGCCACAAGTTTCCCCATCAGTGTTTGAGGATTAAGGTACACATGTTCTCTTAATTCCCAGCTCTTTTCTTACTATCTGGGCCTTTCCTTCTTCCCCACCTTCCTCAGTAACCTAGTGATTC